AATTAAAAGAGAAGAGAGTAAGAAGAACAGTCCGACTGTGAAACAGAGAGAACGACAGATCAGATCCGAGGATCACGGGTAAGAGTTTTCCAACGACTCTGCGGCTGAGAATGGAGAGCTCCCTCCTGGGCCTTAAAAAGTAGAGGGGCTGGTTAGCAGCTGAAGCAGGGGATTTGTATGGGCGGGGGACCAACAGGGCGACGAGGGCGGCACGCCCTAAGGGTTCATAGCAGCAGCTGGGCCTGCAGCTTGCATCCAGCGTGCATCCAGCGCATAAGTAGCCCCTGCCGCTACCCAACTGTCCTCAGGGAGCTTGCGAAGCGACCGTTCTTGTGCGGTCTGACACGTCTCGTCGCTGCGGCCTCAAGCGTGACCAGTTGCTATTTTCTCACGCGCCGAGGCCATGGTGTTGGATCAATAGTCAATCAGCCAATTGATCGGATGGTAGATGTTGGAACAATGTTGGAAAGGGTGATGATGGATGGGAATCTGGAGCGGAGATCTGGAACCGTCGATGGAAGAAAATCCGATGTGTTGGGTGGAAATGGCAGGTCCAGGCTGTGCCTCACGCTTAAGGTTCCCAAGCCCCAGGGGGCCACTGTGGCGCGGGGGAAAGGCCCAGCCTTGGGTGGATTAGTCAGTTAGGACTCGCCCGGCGGTGAACAACTCGATGGCAATGGGCCTACGTGTGATAACGCTTGATATTAAGCATGAAGTTTATGACTGCAAATGCCGTGGACAACTTCTCCGGGGCTTGGTTGTGGCGATGAGATTGGGTTCAGTGATTCAATTGACTCACAAAGGTTACAAGTCACGCTTGCAGACACTTTTTGTTTGATGTTTACATGTGATCCAGTCCTCCTATGGCCGTAGATTGAGGTCCTTTAAAGCCCTCGATCAATCCTTGGGCACAAAACCACCTAACAGCACCTCTCTCACTTCTCATTTCTCCCTTCTTTCTTTTCTCTTGCCTTACTTCGTTGAACTTAACCCAACCATGACGATCTGCCCCACTGAGGGAATGCCATCCACTACCACAAAGAAGATGTATGGTCCTGGTGGTGCCACATTGTTATCTGGTGGAGCACTTACTGCAATCTCTTGTTGAGTTACGCCGGGCGTCCAGTTTGAGATATCCAGTTCTAGCATCCGCTGTCCCATGTGCAGGCTATGAGTGACATATCCACCGTGGTGCAGCACTGCCTTTACCCTTTGTGCGCCCTTTGCAGCCGTGAGTGAGACGTGGAATACCATCCCATTTGCTTCAATAGTCCGGACCTGCAGAGCAACGTTTGTCGGACGCTTCTTCGCGTTGTCTCCACTGAGGTACGGTGGAGTATAAATCTCCACTCGGAATTCAGTGACGTATGGGTGTGCTGAGTTGGGTACGAGGACTGGCATCTCATTTGGGTTCGACCCGGCCACCATGATCGTGCCATCTAGCAGGAGCAGTGCAACGGAATGATAGAGCCGTGGAATCGTTGAATTTGCAAGCGTGCTCCATCGCCTGCCCAGTGGTGCATCCGGATCGTAAAGGAGGGCCTGTAGGGTTGGGTCTGCCATAAGACCAAAGCCATCTGCTCCCTTGTCGCCTCCATTGAGCCAGATAACTTTCCCATCTGGTAGCAATGTGCCTTCTACCATAGCACGTCCTTCGGGCATAGAATCCATTTCCCAAGCTGCATCTTCTGAGAGAGGTTCAATTCGTCCGCATGACGGATCCGTAGGACTAGTAATATCCTGATACGCGCCGCCACCACATATGACAATGTCGGATGCCCATTTATTTGCACTGGATAGCGGGAGAAGAACACTGCCACCTGTGTTGGGGCAAGTCCGGTAGTCTCCTGGAAGGTCTGGCAGTGATTTGATGGTTGTATTTGTCTCTAGATTGAATACCTCGGATGATTTCGAAGCGAAGACAAAGAGTGAGCCGTCGTTGAGTAGATGAGCAAATGGATACATGTAATAAGGTTGAGTTTTGATGAGAATATTTATTGGAATGTTTTGGCCTTCCGAAACCCCTTCTGGGCTTAGGATTTCATAGGTCGGGTTGTTATTCGCTGGGTTGGTAGGATCAAGTCCGTTCAAACTACCTGAAGCAACGAAGACTCTACCATCTGGCATTGTCTGAGCCGTGGCATACCACCGTGGGCTCGCCAGCTTGTTTCCTGGTTCAACCCAGCTCTGGCCGTCTAGACCTGAGGCCGTTGATGACCGGCTAAGGTAGCGAATGGCCCTGAATCCATCTCCAACGTTCGGATCAAGCCACGTCAAGGGAGCATTTCCTCCAACAGATATTATTGTACCATTTGCTAGAAATGTCCCACTAGTACAGAAAGCATTTGTCGAACAGGCTAGAGGTATAGGTGTGTTAGTTGCAGGGTCATATTCTGAGGACATTGCATAGTAACCATCTGCTGTGCGAAGCTGCGTGTAGTTCTCTAGTTTGTCCAGGAACATGACTCGACCGTTTGGTAATAGAGCAGCATGCATAGCAGGAACACCTGAGTGCCCTGCCACAGAAAAGGTTCCAGGACTAGCAAAAGCAGGTGCTGAACTTGGACCAGGAGGATCATCTCCTGAAGTATTCATGCAAGGGCCTGATTGACAGCCGGCACCACAGTGGGATGTAGTATCGCCACTAGATGCTGTCAGAACTTGAAATATATCCTATAAAAGTGTCTCATACTAACCAGAAATCATACATCGAACAACAATTCCCATCAGGTTAACTACTGCACACGGAACTGTCATTGGATGGCCCGCATGTACCATTTGTAGTTGTAGCCAGCGTGCTGAATGAATCAGCCGGTATATTAGAGATAGGATTGATAACTGCAGTGCGAGAGTTGCCTAAACCCGCAAGTTCTGATAGAGCAGGAGTACACCTAACAAGTGTGAGACAATAGGATGCTGGGGATAATAGCTGCTTACTTCCCATCTACGCCACATATTTGATCGCGTAAACAGCCGTGATAAAGCTTTGGACTATCTTGCTCACAAACTAGTGGAACGTGGTTGAAGATAATGTTGGCTAGGGTAAAAGTTTCCATTAGTAGCAGGATCAGAACATTGAATTCGTTCATCTTGTAATGACTCGACATCTGGGTAAATGATGGGAAATTGTGAAATCAGGTAGGTCTGATAATTGGTGTCTTAAACAATATGTGCCATTGAAGGTTCGAAACGACTTAATAGATTGAAGTATTCAAAGAAGGCCTAAGGTCATATACGACATCGAGTATCCAAGATAGTAAGCATTGGTGAGTGTGAAGATCCTCGAAATATAGTAACGAAAACACGGCTATCGACAGCTTCAAGCTATTAAGAGTATTGGCTGGTTAAGGTCATACACCAGAGAAAATAAGTCTGAGTAACGTTTGTGTTATATCGCTAGTTGATCCGTCACGTCAAATTCCAGGTTGAAGCATAATGTACTACATTCATGCTAGGTCTTTTGAGCTTTATGTCAAGTCACCCCATCTTGAAGAAGCTATGCTGGTTTGGCCCCAGCGATACTTTTTACTTCTTTTGCGAATGACAGTCCGAAAGTGATTTCAAGTATCTGAATGAAAAGATTCAAATCATAGATAGTATAATCAAAAGTGATATAACTGTACCATCAAGATCATCTTTCCAGTTACCCCTTGAAGCATCAAGTAGAATGGTTAAGTTGTAATCTCAGATCTTGAATTTGATGGTTCCACCAATGATCCTTGAAGACCAGGGCTATGACTTGTGGCCAGCAGTGACATCCGAGGCGTTGTGCTTGTATCTTCTGCTTATCAGATCGTTATATGTTGCACAGCTTTCGAATAGGTTCTCTTCGGCACTTGTGAACCATCTGAAGGCCCGGGATATTATCCGATACCCTGGGGCTCTGCTATATCGGGCCTATCAAATCCTAGGACCGTCCCCATATCGTTTGGGGGTTGGGTGTGAAGATGTTTTCCGCCATCTCGAATTACCTCACCAGTTCAACTCCTGCTTAGTTGTGACTCCAACAATAGTTGACTGTTCCACCACCTTCTCTGGAGGGTTGTGTATCGCCTCATCTTCTTCTCTATCCATCAAGTTCAGATCTAGACCCCACTTGTCGACCTCCTGTGAGAGAATTGCCTCCCACTTGATGACCAAAGGATGCGATGCAGCCACATCAGGAAATAGGACTTCTTTCTCCTCATCGCCCTCTCCGTTAACTTTAAATTTCCATATGCCATCATCTCCCCACCATTCTCGCCCGAAAACACTCTCTGTTTTCAGGTCCTGCCTGGCTTCATCTAGTAAGCGTGATAAACGCCGTTCTTCCTGCGTCCAATCCACATGAGTACTCGTATGATCTTGGGCCCCATTTGTTTTCGCAGCGGAAGAGATGGCGCTGCAGATTCCCTCTATAAGGCCCAGAATCTTACCAATCCTCAAACCTAACACGGCGCCGAGCGAATAACCTTCATCAAAGCCTGCCTGTATGGTAGTCGTCTTTCCTGTAGTGACACCGTCTCTATATCCCTCAGTCTCGTGCTTTTCCTTCAGCCTCGGAATATCTGATACTTCTATGTTCCCAATTCTATGGACCGAGCGTATATCTTCCGATATGTGCTGTCCGTCGAAACTGACATCTGTAGGAGATGGAGGGGCAGAGCCAAACACGTCGTCCAGATCGTCATGATAGACTCTACTTGGCGATCGTGCATCCCCATCTTCATCGATATCAGTAGATACTGAATATCCGCTCACGAGCGGTGGGAAACTCTCGTCGTCTCGTAACATATTTGCCATGTAGGACAAGGAAGGTGTTATGACAAATGTTGCCTTCAGCCTTGATGCCCCGCCAAAATTCTCGTTCCGCTTAGCGGGGTTGGTCATGCAAGGCTGGCAAGGCTGCACGGCAACTTGCAGAAGGCGACAGCAAAGAAACAAACAAAGCTTCAAATATGGAATTAAGAGCTGAAATTGACAACTCAGGCGGAATGACGAGGTCGCGAACAGCTTCTTCTGCGTGATTATAGTAGTGGTATAACTTATCTGCCCCCCAAGTTCTCTTGCAGAGCAGAAGACGCGAGTTCGAATCTCGCATCACGCATATAAGTTTTTTTTTTGGATTTTTTTTAAATCAGCAAAGCATAATTAAGGACTATATTTTGCCATTCCATATATTTGTTCTGTAGATTAGGCTAGCATATATTCGGCGAAGTTCGTCTGCTAATTCTAATGTTACGCCTTCTAGCTTATAGCCTCATGCGTACCCACTAGTTAGACATACCTCATTCTAGTATCGGACTTTCTATATCTTTCATTCCTTAAATTTTATCATTTTCATCATTTAAATGTTGAATCGATAGAACTTGGCCTTAAACGGGACGATTTTCAGCTTCATACTCCTTAGATAGTTGCATTACTGTAGGATAAATCTGATTGGCTATCTATGGTTGTAGATATTTTAAGACCATCTACCGGAAGCATATTTATTGGATAATACGCCTCCGTAAATAAAGAGACTTTACAGACGTGGTTTTCAATAATTCTCTCTAGATTCTTAGAATTCACCCCAATTTAAGTAAAGCAGCTTAGAGATCATCAACGCTTCAACTGCCCGCCCATGCGGGGCAATCCGAATCCGGAAGCGAGATGGATCTTGTTTACTTACATACTTCTCAACGATCTAGACTTGTTAACTCTCCCAATCAAGCTGTAGAAACTTTAAATAGTTGTTTATGCACAGCTTTGTGATATCTAAAGGGGGAATATCCCCCATGTTACACATTGAATCAAGACTGTTCCTGAAACCTCACTACCTGTCGCATAAATATATCCGAGGCATATCTACGAGTTCAGTGCAATTTACACCTAATATGAGCCAATCTCAGCATGCAAAAAACCATAATACATCAGGGAGGATACATATCCTTGGAATAGGCAACATTGGGAAGCTCTTTGCTCATGCTCTAGCAACACAACCAAATCCCCCACCTATCACCATTTTATTACATCGGCCATCACTCCTCCAAGAGTGGAAAAGTGCTGGTGAAACAATTGAAATCATCACAGATGGTAATTCTAATACAGATGGAGTATATGATGTGGAAGTGATACGATCGACGGATAATGATAGCTCTGAGACCCCAGCATCTCATATTGAGCACCTCATATTAGCTACAAAAGCTGCACATACCGCTCCGGCGATTGCATCTATCAAAGACAGATTGACCAGCAAGTCCGAAGTTTTATTCACGCAGAATGGAATGGGCACCACAGATGACGTTAACTCCCGGGTATTTTCAGATCCTGCCACTAGACCACGGTACTATACCAGTGTGAACTCTCACGGTGTATATGCTACTTCAACCTTTACTTCTGTCCATGCAGGATTTGGTGCGGTATCGGTGGGTAATGTTCTATCACCAGATCACTCTGGTGATGACGCTGCGACTTCATATCTTGTTAGAAAGATACTCGAATCTCCAATCTTGTCGCCAAAGCTAGTTCCACCAGAGGAATTATTTCAGCTTCAACTGGAAAAGCTGGTTGTAAATGCTATGCTCAACCCCCTTACAGCATTATTTGGGGTCAAGAATGGAGAACTTTTCAAGTCAGCTGCCATCACCCGTCTGATGTATCTTTTACTGGCCGAAACATCGCATGTCATCAGCTCCCTGCCTGAGTTACAACACTTTCAGCTTGCTACCGAGAATCCAAAAGAAAGATTTTCCTCCCCTAGATTGGCGAAAGTTGTGTTTGATGTTGCTGAGAAGACGGCCAAAAATACGAGTTCTATGCTTCAGGACGCTAGAGCAGGGAGAGAAACGGAGATTGACTTTATTAACGGTTGGATTGTGAGGAGAGGCTCAGAAATGGGAATTGATTGCCACAACAATGAGAAGATTGTTCAACTAGTCAAAGCACGGAGAACTATTACGGAAGTGGAGATTGGAAGAGAGTTTGACGATTTTGTATAAGTATAGGCTGATGGCTGAAGAAGGGGATAGCTTTGTACTTGAAAGAGAGTACGTACTACGGCGTTCGTGACTTGTATTATTAATGGGGCTATTAACGATCATCTAGCCTTGAGAAGACTTCTGTAAGACACAAGTGTCATTCAGATTACCACTGAGTATGATATACCCAATATCGAAAATGGGTATTCGATCAATCCAATATTTCATAACTCCGTGTATCCAAATATAAATTTCTAAAAAAGCTCTAGAGATGTGTTTTTTGATAACAAGAGAACTCCGCTGATCAAGTGTATCCACTACAGAGGAAAGCTCGATCGCAGTCGCAGAGAAGATATGTAATAGATGGAACCACCACTGTTATTCTTCTTCCAACGTCACTTACTGTCTGATTGCGCTGGGATATCCACAACCTAGCGGCCACCTATTCTCGCTTTATACCAGGCAGTCTATAGAACAAATTTTCGGAAGCTTTCAAGCCTTTCTTCAAGAATACCGAAGAGCTCATAGAGTATCTTTCCAATTGTAGTTCGTATAGAAAATCTCACAACCTGGCTTTCTGCTCAGCACCAGGTAGCTCTACCTCAGTAGTACACAGAATAAACGTGTCTTTAAGGGCAGGCACTCTGTGCTTATTATTCGCCTCCTGATAATCCTTACTGGCCAACATATCTGCAAAGTGCCAGATCGAAGGGTAATGCGCCAGCGTCATCTCATCCCACTTCGTGTCCCCCTTCTCGCCGAAGCCCAACACAGTGATTACTTTGCCAACGATTTTTGCCAAACCACCTCGTCGACTGCCGACGCTCTCTGAGAACGCTTTCCCATAGCGCAGGTAGCTTTCGTGCATGCCTTCCTTGAAGGCTAAGAGGTTCAGCATGCTGACTGCCTTGTCCTTTCCTTCTGAACCGTCTTTAGAGAATGATTCTACCCAGTTTAAGAGTTCCGAGTCAAGTGCCAAAGACTGAGCTGAGTCTGCTATCTGTCTGTTTCCCTCATCTAGGGAGCCCGTCAACGGCGGAACATCTCCTGGTGCCGGATGCTGTAACCGAGCGTTCTTTTTATCATAGTCTTTGAAAAGCGCAGAAGGCATGCCAAATGTGATGGTCCATTGTGCCGTTATGAGTTCTTGGAGCTTCGGAGGAAGGCTAGTATCTGAGGTCGGGAGAATGAGGAGAAGGTCCCAATTCTTAGTGAGAAGGGCAGTAGAGGTTGAAGTCGGACGGATGATCCATCGATGGGGCTTCGCGACCGTGACTGGTTTTAAATCTGTGCTTGAAAGGGTCTGAAGGAAGGAATTGAGCGGCACAGAGAGCGTGACGAGGTGAAGGACTAGTGCCGGCATATTGTAGATATGGAAGACCGGTGAAGTGTTAGTACCAGTATTATTGCTAGGTAAGTAAGGAAGCTCTTCAGAAATGCAAATAAGACATCAGATTAGTTGGCACGCGTGTTAATATACAGCAATGATATATGTATCATGCAAGGCACTAAGTGTTTGATGATAATATCTTCTCCAGCTTCTGGCTGAGCAGCAACATCCTCGGGTACCCCACAGTTAAAGCTGGCCCGAGCTCGCACTTGGCCGAGGCCCATTGACGTGCAGACCGTTGGAAGATCCGGACATCGATCTTCGGAACATTATTTGACCCCAGCACCAACACGATCTCCACGCAGTGAATACGGGCACAGCACAAGACAGACCTTCATCCAACAAGATAGTGCGAATAAATATAGTCGTGAGGGACTTAGATCAAGGAATTGTACATCCTCAACCAAAGGATGATCAAGGAAAGTACAGTATGTGCAGTCAGAGCGCTGAGGGATTGTGTTGCTGGCGCTTGCGCGTCGAGATGCGATGTCGCCATAGCAACGATCTGGATATTTCCATGTCAACAATTGGCCATGCCACCATGCCACCGCTATATCCTCCGCGATTAGTCGTTACATGGCATCAGCGCAAATCTTGCTGAACTAGGCAACGTTACTCACGCCGGGCCTTCATATGGTCTGTCTTCCGGTCTTTGCGTCTCTTTTTATATCCTGACCACTGCCCCCAGCTCGTCGTCCGGAGGGGTCGAGCCTTATACAACGCGCGAAAAGAAAAGAGGATCAGCGTGTTCTAGATGTTGGATCGAGACAACTATTTTGAGAAGGAACAATTCTGGACTTCCTCTCGACAATAAACGTCTTCAATACTTGATCATGAAAGATTCGAGGTGATTGACCGCTGTGGACCCTCGGAGAAGTAGTGTTCTTCCGCGACCAATCGACAAGATGATGAAGTTACTGGCATCATTCCAAGTTTTCTGGATATTATCTCTATCCACTTTCCACATCGCGAACTCCCAAATGCTACCCTACAATCCGACCACGATTCTTGTTCCTCAGAACCTATCGATCAGTGGAGGAGTAGCGTACGTCTTCCTCGGGTCGACCGAGTCAGAGACAAACAGCCAATTTCTCTCTTTGAATATCTCATCTACAATCTCAGCATCAAACATATCTCTTCAAGATATTACTCCAGATCTATCGTTTTTTACGAATGACTCTATCGCATCTGTACCTACTATTTCGTCAGCCGGAGAGATATCAGTCTATGCGGGATCCTGTGATTCTTCGGCGGGCTCGCAGCTATGGAGATTTACGCCCTTGAACACAAGCGCAGATGGAGATGGAACATGGATATCGGAGACTACAGTCCTTGCTGGCGGCGTGAAGCCTAGCTCAATTACAGGTCCTCAATTCCTGTCTGGTGGATTAAGCTTTTCAACACTAGTAAATGGCAATGCTTCTGAGTCGAATATATACACCTTCGGCGGGATGTGCCCAAACTCGTCCGAGGATGGAGACTCAAATTGGCAGTCGTCTGCTACCTACACCAATTTAGTAACCAGACTTGTCCCGCCGTCCTCGTCAACTAGTCTTACTTACACCCTCGACATCCCCACAGTCAAAGGTCCGCCAATTGCTGAAGCTGGCTTTACAATTACCGGATTATCCCCCATATACTCAAACATAAGTGGTATACAAACTCAACAGCAGAATTTTGTGCTCCTAGGGGGCCACACACAGACCGCATTCATAAATATGAGCCAAATAGCTGTTTGGAGCTTGCCTGAAGAAAGCT